GGGGAGAATTTATATTTCTAAAAGCCCCTTGTGTCTAATTTAAGAAGCCTGAATTTCCCAAGTATACTAAGAAATATAAATCTTACTTGTGAATTAGTCTTAAATACTCAAATTTTCTAAGATATAAAGTATTATACACATTGGAATACTATACTGACCACAGTATGTCCCCCATGATGGAAATATGCACATGACCCAAAAAATAACTGAGCACTTTCACGTTTGCAGATAAGAAGCAAATTCAATGATCTAAAATGCTTGTTAAAAAAACAAGACTACAGTACACAGTACCTTGTCCAGCTTGTAATTCAGTTTACACCACCATACACACACACAACTTGTCAACAGGAAAGAATCAATCATACTCTATGATTAATAATAACTAATCATTAATGTTTACAAAGAAGGCTTAGTACTTCATGGTAAATGCTATCTTAAGACACTGAGCACTCATCTGTGCAGGGGAAACTGAAGCACAGAGCTGGAGATGGTTCATCATTCTTAGTCTGAGAAAGATGTGCATTGCCTGAGTAGGGCATAGAGACCTTTAGAAAGAAGTCTAAGTGGATGACGCAGCCCAGGAGAACTGCCAGGCACTGCAACACTGCCTCCTCCATTGCCACTGACTGGAAGAAAGAAATGCTCAAATGTAAACAGCCATTCACATTAGGACTTGTCCAGTACACACTGACTAGACAGGAACCAACAAGTACTCAACTTTTCAACATAAAACATAAAATCTGGGTGTTAGATTCTCTTTATTTGACCTCTTAAAGGAGCCTGGAAAACTACAAGCTGTACTCTGTACTGCTGCTCCATGTTAGAAGTAAGACATTAAAATACTGATGGCACACATTAGGCCATCAGTGCCAAGGAAAACTGCTACAGTAACTACTGGCATTGCTACGGTCAAGGTAAAATCAGGTGCTACTGTCCAAAAAGTCCTGGCAGTAATGTTATTTGACACTTGTTTGAATCATAATTTTATACCTATAGGTAGGCACTGTGTGTAAGAAAAACAACTAGCCTTTTGGTACATAGAGTCTCCAAAAAAGTTGGGAGTTTTATTTGTAAACTGAATTAAAAGAAAATGTCATAGATAATAATTTTAAATTGATGTTTCTAGAACATGGATTTGAGAAGACTACTTATTTCTTAATAAGATATTTGTTATATATAGAACACATTTTAAAAGCAGAAATCTATGGTAAATTTTATCCACTGAATTAAAACTATTTTAAGACATACTAATTCATGCTAGCAATAATCACTAATAAAATTAATTCTTATTATTCCTGGTTAATTCACTGGTTAAGTATTTCATTTGATCATCAAAACCCTAAAATTTATCATGCATATCAAGGGCAGTCTAAGTACAAAGGCTACCACTTGGGGAATTGGTGGCACAAGAGCTTCAGCATCTCAGGGTGCTATCGTTTCTCCTCTTCTCCCACACTCCTTGTTTTTACAGACTTATTTCAAACCCAAAAGCAAAGTTTACTTACTACAATAAGATTCCTGTTTCCTTCCTCAAGTAATTATTGGTTTGGGGTGGTAAATAGAAAGATATTTACATCTTAAGATCTTTTTTGGAATATATAAATGTGACACCTACCAGGTAAATATCTATTAAAATGCATGGAAAAAAAGCCTTTCTGAAAACAAAAATGAGCCTTCAACTTCCATGGATTAGGTAGAAACTTAAATATCCATGACTTTGAATGTGGAGCCATTTAACAGAAGACCACAATTACAAGCATGCTTTATGCTTTCAACAGGTTGCTTCCTGTATGAAACAAATACCTGTTAACCTGACTACCATTAACTTTTTCCTCTTGCCTTGAGAATTTCTATCCTTGCTTATCAGATTTTGGATAGGGAAGCAAGGAATTTAATTCTTCCTGAACTGAAGAAATGGGGAGAAACCCACAAAAGACAAACTAATCTGAGCAAGACATTCTGGAAGAAAGAACTAAATCAGATTGTTAAAAGAAAAGGAAAGCATAATCGTATTCAGTTTTTCCACTAAATATGCTTCCTATACTTCCTAATCACTGTCTTGTAACTCAGATCTGGGTTGAATCAGAGTACGATTATTCCCTGTATTACCATCAAAGTAAGTGGATGACTTTTTGCAATTTACTCAAAATAATGAGAATCAGTTTTTGCTAAATGTTATCCTCATCTGTGGAGCCAGACATTTAGTATCCGATCAACTAAATTAAAAATTCTGTACTCTATAAGGTACTTCTACAGTGTTACTAATCTATAATGAGGGAATTGCATTTCCTTCTTTCAGGTGAACAATCTACATGAGCATGAAATACATGAAGCCCTAATTTCTTTTCTGTACTCTCCAGATGGCTTCCTTTAGGGAAACGAAGGTTTAGGATACAGAAAATTCACACCATCAGGTTAGTTGTGTGAAATGACACATCCCAGAAAGTAGAGTAATTTTTGCATCATTACTGTCGATGCTCTACAGGCACTGCTGATCAAGAGGGGCACTGAAGAAATCCCAAGCGTCAAGAGGCTGCTCTTCCTGCTCTAGCTCCTCATCCAAGAAAGCACAGTTGCTAATAGACACATGCTCTAAAGTCAGAAAAAAGGTACTTCATTTTCCAGTGTGGCTACAACAAAGAAAAGTGGGCAAGTGACAATTAAGACACTAAATGATAAATCCATCTCTGAGTTGTTGTAATCAAATTCTAAGACCTTTGATTCTCCAATTTAACTGTTTTGGCTTTACCAGGTTTGAGAGGAATAGTAGAAATAACCATAACACAACATATTCACTAAGTCCTCCGAATGCATGTTAAATAACAAAACAATACAGTTATACTGGCCTGTGATTTGTTGTGTGTGTGTGTGTGAGTATTTTTTTTTTTTTTTTTTTTTGAGACAGGGTGCCACTCTGTTGCCCAGGCTGGAATGCAGTGGCACAATCATGGCTCACTGCAGCCTTGACCTCCTGGATTCAAGTGATTCTCCCACCTCAGCTTCCCAGATCACTGGGACTACAGGTATACACAACCATACCCGACTAAATTTTTTTTTTTTTTTTTTTGGTAGAGACAGGGTTTCACCATTTTGCCTAGGCTGGTCTCGAATTCCTGAGTTCAAGTGATTCACCTGCCTCTCAAAGTGCTAGGGCTACAGGCACGTGCCACTGCACTTGGCCTGACCTGTGATTTTAAAACTCGTATTAATTTAAATTTAAAGCTAATAAGAGAAAGTCAAAATTAAAATTAAAAAACAGGAGAAATATTCTTATTTAAAAATAAGTATATTTGGAAAAAGGCTAGTGAAAAAGTAGGCTAAAATTAGCCTTTATTTAAGAAACTCTGTGACCCTGAAAGCAGCCATATAGCCGATTAAACACAGTAGGAGTGACTCAGTGCACATTAAGGGTGTTCTCTTTAGTAATGACAATAGCAATTCAATCACCAAAATTATTTAATCTACAGATCTAGACATTTATCAAAAGTCTCTCACTAGAGTATCCTTTTCTAATACCTGAACCTTGTTCTGGGGAGTCAAATTTCTAAAAAAAAAAAAAAATCTTAACGTGAAGGCACAAATCTGGACTACTGCCAGAAGTAGTACTGGCAGAAGATAGCTTAATACTTAACAGTTTATATTCCAAGAGATTATTAAAAAGCACTGTAGGCTTTGCAACAGTGCTATTTTTCTTTTTGCTTATAAAAGAGACAAGTGACAACAAAAGTTAATGTGAGCATTTTAATTGTACTTATTCTTTTTTTTGGTTTGTTTTTAATTGTACTTATTCTTGAAATGGTTAACTTCCAGCTATACTTCTAATACTGACGTACCACATAATCATTTATGCATGAATATAGAACATAGTGTACATACATACACACACTGTGTAAGCATGAATGCAAAGTGAAGAAAAACACTAAGCTGGCTCAAATAATATTTCCCCTTAAGAGCTATCTCTTGGAATTGTAGAATTAAGAAAAGATCATTACCTAATATTCTGAAAGAACAGCACAAATACCCCAAACTCAGATGTCTGGACAATTTGGCCTAGAATCTCAATCCAAAGATCAACTATTATAAAAGTTTCAAATATGCTTTCTAATTTTTAATTTTGTTTTTAGAATCAAAGAACAGGAGTTTTACTTCTTCCTACTGCCAAAAGCTGAATTGGACAGAGTCAAGTATAAAGAATATTAAGTTAGGAAAGGAAACAAATATTTTGAGGGGAAAAAAGTATAACATCCAATTTCTTTTAAGAATATAATTAATAAAAATGCTAATATCTATATACATCTAAAGTAGTATATAATTGTTTATAAGAAATGAACTGTTTGTGTTCTGATTTTATTATAAGAATTAACATTCTTAAGATGATACAGTTGTAAAGTTAAATCAGAAACACCAAATCTGAAAGAGGCTATGATCTAACTAACCATTTTACATTTCCTCAGAATTTTGGCATTTTTCCCAATTTTACTGTGCAAATGTGACAAAACCATACACCACTTCTGCCACGGAGACAAAAGCAATTACTCCACTAAAACAGTAAGATTTAAAAAATGCGAGGTAACAAAATAAAGATCTACATTTAAGCACAATGTTGAAGATAAGAAGTGGCAGAAAAATTCTTAGTTTTAAAAAAGAAAACAATTCCTTTTAGTAGTATTCAAAGAACGTGAAAGATAAAGCGTTTGGAATCAACTTGATGTGATTATAAACAGACAAAAGAATGCAGATGTGTCAAAATATGATTCAGGTTAAAACACATGTCATGCTGGGGCCACTCACTCAGCCCTAATTTATAGATGCCAAATTCATTTTTACATTTTCAAGAAGAAGAGTGCAATTTAGATTGTATAATGTTCATCTATAAATGTGAAGGCTTTCACAATGGCATAATAAATTTTTCTGCCTGGAATGAAATAGCAGCTAATCATTTGGACAGTTAAAAAAAATAAAGGGTAAGACATACATGCAGACACACATAGAACAGTTACCTTCAGCTGATTATTGAAAATATCAATCTCCTGTAGTTTTGATCTAGTTTCTTTCTCCACTTCATCCAGTTGGTCTCGTAGCTGCTGTCGAGCTATTTCTTTTGCTTCTAAGGCTCTTTTAAGTGTAACAAGTGAATCTCCTATTTTATAAAAACATTGCAAAGATAAGAAAACTTTAATTTGCAGTGAGGAAAATTTTTTTTTAACATTCTCATTTCACTTAAGGAAATTCTTGCTGTTTAAAAAAAAAAGGCTAGGCGCAGTGGCCTACACCTATAATCCCAGCACTTTGGGAGGCTGAAGTGGGAGGATCACCAGAGGTCAGGAGTTCGAGACCAGCCTGGCCAACATAGTGAAACTCTATCTCTACTAAAAATATAAAAATTAGCTGAGTGTGGTGGCACACACCTGTAGCCCCAGCTACTTTGAGGCTGAGGCAGGAGAATCTTGAACCAAGGAGGGAGAGGTTATAGTAAGCCGAGGTCATGCCACTGCACTCCAGCCTGGGCGACAGAGCAAGACTTCGTCTCAAAAAAAAAAAAAAAAAGGGAAAAGAAAAAGAAAAGGTCAGCTTTAAAAACAAAACACCTACTGTGCAAACTGTTCTGCTGAACTTGTTTTAACTGGTCATTGAGTATCTGTTTTTCTGGAATTAGTCTTCCAAGCATTTGCTGAGATTCCTGGGAGGGAAGGAGGACAACAGTAATGAACGACAGGGAAGGCTACTGTGTCTACGTTAAGATCCAGGCAGAGCTCAAGTCAGTTTTCACAGTCCTCAAACACTCATCCCAAATCCTGTATGGTAAAGCTGTGTTTAATTGTTAGTTAGGTGTGGCTCCTACATTGTTTGCCAAATGCATTTCCCTAAAATAAAGTTAAGATAGTTATGGCTTCCCTGATATTTCTTATATTTTTGTTGGCTTATTAGATATTTATGAGCTTTAAAAAATGTACATTAGGTACTACTCCACATAGATAAATTCAAGTAATGAGCTTCCAATAGCACTGGGATCAAATGCAAATGCAGTGATCCTACTGTTTGTAAACGAACTCAGTGGTTTAAATAACAAACTCAGTGGTTTAAATATGAGTTATCCTACTACTCTGTTCTGAACTTGGATACTTACTAAGGCTGAACTTAGGTTTATCGTATACATGAAGTTGGAAAGAAATAAAAGATTTTTAACAACTAGAATCTTAGCTGCTGTACATATTTTTCCACCACACTGGATGGAATTTTAAACAGGTACACAAAAGTTTTGAAGCAGCTACTTTTTAACTGACACAAGAAAAATGTTAAGCCGCACTGCACAGCCTGTTTGGAATTTTTTAGGTTAACTTGCCAAGCACAGTATTTGCTTAAATTTAGCCACAAATATCTTGTAGAGTTTCTATACATTTCAGTAAAATGGTAGCTATAATAAAGAATATCTGACTTTTATTTTTACCTTGATAAAAAATGAGCTCTATGTATTGACTTTTTGTTTGAAAAACTAAAAATGTCTTAATTAAATTTTTTTTATCAGAAGCTAAAAACCAGTCTCTTTTGGAATAACCGCCTTTAGATACAGACTGGCTTATGTGGAATACATCGCTGTAATGCATGTAATGTAAATGGTAGAAAGAGTTAACTCAATATCAAGAATTTAGAAGCATCTTCTATGAATAATCCATACCAGAAAAAAAAATTGTGACAAAACAGAATACACAAAATCAGATCTGACTTATCTCCAAAGCAAGTAACTGCTAATCCCTGTACAGAAAGGGAACCAATACCTCATTACCTACTATGTACCTTTCTTTCTTCAGAGAATGCTTTATCTTTCACTTCACTATGTTTTTGGAAACCCTGATTTTTATTATGTTATCAATAAGCAAACATTCTAAACATCAATCTTAAATAATAAAACTTGTACTTGGTCACATAGTATTAGGTAGGTGATAATATTTAGATAAACCATGGCCTTCACCCTTAAATTTTCCAGGAAAGCATTTTATGAAACTTTACCTCAAGTGTTAACAAAAGACACATAAAGAGTGTTAACACATAGAAAAATATACTTAGGCCGAGGTGGGCAGATCACGTGAGGTCAGGAGTTCAAGACCAGCCTGGTCAACATGGTGAAAGCCCATCTCTATAAAAAATACAAAATTAGCCAGGTGTGGTGGCACTTGCCTGTAATCCCAGCTACTCAGGAGGCTGAGGCAGGAGAATAACGTGAACTTGGGAGGCGGAGGTTGCAGTGAGCCGAGATCGTACCACTGCACTCCAGCCTAGGCAACAGATTGAGACTTTGCCTCAAAAAAAAAAAGAAAGAAGGACGGACAGAAGGAAGAAAGGAAGGAAGAAGAGAAGAGAAGAGAAAAACATAATTCAAAAAGGTGCATGCATTTTGTAATATGTTAAAACAATTTCCAGTAATCAACTTCTGGTACTTTTTACTTTACAAAACTCAAATTTCAACTTTATAAGGACTTTCTTAGGACGTTAAAGTACATGAAATAATAACTGAACTAAAATAAAAGGAAAATACACAAATCCACAATGACCAGAATTTCAACGTTCTACTACTCTCAGTAACTAACAAAAGTAGTCACAAAATCAGTCAAGACAGAGGAGACTTGAAGACCACCATGAATCAACTTGATCTGCCACTTGGGGGAAACTCTACCTAATTACAACAGAGTACATATGTTTTTCAAGTGCCCATAGAATATTCCCCAAGAAAGATCATATGCTGAGCCATAAATCTCAATTAATGTGAAAGAATTAGGAGAAATTACAAAAAAAATTTTTTAAAGATTTTGAACTGAATAAATATGAAAATGCAACATATTAAAAATTGGTGGGAAATGGCAATGCCAGTATTCAGAAGGAAATGTAAAGCTTAAAATGTTTGTATCAAAAATGAAGAAAGGTCCAAAATCAATTATCTAAACTTCCTTCTTAGGAAGCTTGAGAAAAGAAAATTAAACCCCAAATAAGTAAATGGAAGAAACAAGAGACAAAGAACATAAATAAATAAAACAGAAAACAGACATACCACAGAAAAAAATCCATAAAGCTAAGAGCTTATTTAAAAAAAAATAATAAAGCCAGTAACTTATTTTCTAAAAATCAAACTCCAGGTAGACTGATCAAGAAAAGAAGGAGGAGGAGAGAGAGAATAGGAGAAAGGAGAGAATTAGGGGTTGTGGGGAGAAAGGAAGAGGAAGAGGAAGAGGAAGAGGAAGGAAGCACGGAGACAGAGTGAGATGGCACAAATTACCAATATTGGGAATGAAAGAAGGGGCATCACTACAGATACCTCAGACTTGCACAGAATAAGAGAACGTTATACATATAAATTTAATAATTTAGATGATATAAACAAATTCATTGACAGATACAAATAATCAAAACAGATTCAGCCAGGTGCAGTGGCTCACACCTGTAATCCCAGCACTTTGGGAGGCCAAGGCAGGCGGATAACAAGGTCAAGAGATTGAGACCATCCTGGTCAACGTGGCGAAACCCCATCTCTACCAAAAAAATACAAAAATTAGCTGGGCATGGTGGCGTGCGCCTGCAGTCCCAGCTACTCGGGAGGCTGAGGCAGGAGAATTGCCTGAACCCAAGAGGCGGAGGTTGCAGTGAGCCAAGATTGCGCCACTGCACTCCAGCCTGGCAACAGAGCGAGACTGCATCTCTCAAAAAAAAAAAAAAAAAAAGACAGATTCAAAGAGAAGAAGAAAATCAGAATAGTCCTATACCTACTGAATAATTGTTTTTTCTTTTTTCTTCACAGCAACATCTAGACTACTGAATAAATTTTATAATTAAGTCTTACCACAAAGAAAGCTATAGGCCCAGAAGGCTTCACTGGTGAATGCCACCAAAATTTAAGAAGAAATGCTAATTCAACACAAAAATTTTTAGAAAATAGAGGAGGAAGGAATACTTTCCAACTCATTTTCTGAAGCCGGCATTACCCTGATATCAAAACTAAACAAGGATATTACAAGAAAACAAAAAAACATTATCTCTATTGAATTCAAATAAAAATATCCTTAATAACATAATAGAAAATGGAATGTAGTAAAATATTTTAATAAAGGGTAATACAGCATGACCAAGTGTAGTTTATCCCAAGAATGGAAGGCTGATTTAACATTCAAATTGCAATCCATGTAAATCATGTGTAAACAAAATAAGAAAGAAAAAACACATACTTATCGCAACAGGTGCAGGAAAAAACATGATCTAATTCAATACCCATTCATCATAAAAACCCTCAGCAAAAAGGGAAGTCTATCAACCTGATAAAAGGTATTTACAAGAACCCTGGTTAAAACTGTACTCACTGGTGAGATGGCTTTCCTTCAGAGGAGGAACAAGGCTCTCCCCACTTGAGAGAAGTTCAACTGACAACTGAACAAATATGTTCAACTGATTTTCAACAAACTACCAAGGTAACTCAATGGGAGAAAAGCCAGTGTTTCTAATAAATGGTGCTAGAGCAACTGAGTATCAGTATGTAAAAAAATCCAGTGTGGGAGGTTCTGGTGAACAAAGGCACAGAAGGAAAGTGAAGCAATCACAGATAGAGGGTCAATATACAACAATAAACTCTATTTCCATTTACTGGCACTGAACAACTGAAAACGAAAATAAAAATAAGCAATCTATAATAGCATCAAAAGCCACAAAATACTTAGGGATAAACGTCACAAAGTATCTATAAGACTTGGACACTGAACTACAAAACATTGCTGAGAGAAATTTATAACAACCTAAATAGAGATTTATGCCATAGATTTACTATTGCTAAGATGTCAGATCTTCCCAAATTGATTTATAAATTCAATGGAATTCTAACAAAATCCCAAGCATTTTCGTAAAAACTGATAAGCTGATTCTAGAACTTATATGGAGATGTTAAAGATCTAGAATAACTAACTGAAAATAATTCTGAAAAAGAAGAAGAGTAACAGAGAATTCATATCACTTGACTTCAACCATTAGGTATCAACAGAGTGAGAGACTGGTAAAGGACAGATAGCTCAAAAGAACAGAACAGAGTCCAGAATAGACCATTACAAATATGTTCAACTGATTTTCAACAAGCTACCAAGGTAACTCAATGGGAGAAATGCCAGTGTTTTTAATAAACGGTGCTAGAACAACTCAGTAACAGTATGTTAAAAAAAAAAAAACAAAAAACCTCAACCATTACCTTATACTACATGCAAAAATCAACTTGAAATGGCTCATACACCTAAACATAAGATATAACTATGAAACTTAAAAGACAAAATTTATAAAACTTATTTTTAAATAAAAAACGTAAAAACTTCTGGAAGAAAATAAAATATTTGCAATCACGGGGTAGTCAAAGATTTCTCATAGAACATAAAAAGCATAAACACCAAAAGAAAAAAAATGGTAAACTGAGTTTATCAAAATTTAAAACTTCTGCCCTTTTAAAAATACCATTACAAAAATTAAACTTAAGCCACAGATTGGGAGAAAATATTTGCAAAATATGTACCTGACAAATGACTTAAGAATATAAAATAACTTTTATAAGTAAATAATTAGACATACAGCCCAATAAAAAATGGGCAAAAGATTTGTTCAGACACTTCAACAAAGATATGTATACAGTAAAAGATACTTGCCAATAAACATGTAAGATAATGCCCAACATCATTAGCCTTCAGGAAAATAAAAATTAATTATCAGAATGTAAAATGGTATAAACTCATTGCAAACAGTTCGACAGCATTCTTTCTTTTCTTTTTTCTCTCTTCTCTCTCTGTCTCCCCCTCCCTCCCTCTCTTTCTTTTTTTTTTGGACAGGGTCTTGTTCTGTGGCCCAGGTTGCCAGTGGCTCAATCACAGCTCACGGCAGCTTCGATCTCCTAGGCTCAAGTGGTTCTCCTGCTGCCTGAGTAGCTGGTATTACAGGTGAATGCCCCCATGCCAGCTAATTTTTAATTTTTTTTTTTTAGAAATGGGGTCTCACTATGTTGCCCAGGCTGGTTTCAAACTCATGCACTCAAGTGATCCTCCTACCTCGGCCTCTCAAAGTATGAGGATTACAGGTGTGAGCCACTGCACCCAGCTTGACAGTTCCTTATGGGGTTAAGTATACACTTATATGACACAGTAGTTCCGCTCCTAAAAGTTTACCCAAGAGAAATAAACCATTTCCACATAAAGACTTGTACATAAATGCTCACTGCAGTTTTATTCATGAAAGTTCCACACTGGAAAAAACCTGAATATCAACCGATAGGTGAATGGACATATAAGGAAATACTATTCAGTGATGAAAAGAAACAAAGGAGTCATTCACTCAAAAACATGGACACATCTCAAAAACATCATGCTGAGAAAAAGAAGCCTGACATAAAAAGGTCACAAACAAATATGATAATCTGAAGACATATTTACATGAATTTGATGCCCCTATAGTTCAGCACTTGATACCAAACCAAGTGATATTATAACAACTTTGGATAGGCTTCAAAATTTAGACAGAACTACTAATAGTACTCTGTGAGTCTCCAACTATTTATTATACATATAGCTCTCATTTGACCCCCCTAAAATACTTAAGTGTACTTATTTATTGTAATTATCACAGTAAAGCCAAAGTCCTGTTGGTGGACTACAGGTTCTGTGTGATCCAGCTCCAACCTGCTCTAGTAAGTAGTATCCTGGCATCTCAAGAGTCCTGCGATAGCCTCAGGACTTTGGCACTCCTATTTCCCTGCCTAGATCTTGCTCTGCCAGTTACCCTCATGGCTTAGTCTATCATTAATTTCAAGTCTCTGCTCAAATGTCACCATCCAGAAAGATCTGTCTTGACTACCTTAGTTAAAATTACAACCTTTTGTATCCCCAGGACTCTATTCCCTTCCCTACTCACTCTCCGTAGCACTTTTCATCTTCTAATACAGTGCATGCTTTGTTTTGTTAGTCTCTGTTTCTCCCGCAAACAGAAGGAAAGCTCCCAGAAGGCAGAGTGTCTGTCCCTGCTGTTCACTGCGATAGCCTCAGAAGCTGCAAGCAGCAGTGCTCAGTAAACCTTTGCTGAGTTTGTCTCTTTCACAGACTACATTTCACACAAGGATCCTGTCTACCTCATTTTTGCTTCCCAGTGCCTAGTACAAGATAGTTGCTTAATGTTTACTGAATAAGTACATGAAATGAGTTAGAGAAAATATGCCAGTTTAATAGCTTTTAAAAAGAGGCCTATTTCCTCACCTGTAGTTGTTGCTGTAGATGGGTGATTTCAGCAATTCTCAACTCTCTAGATTTGTTTGTGCTCTCAATTTCTTGCCTCTGGGCGGTCAATCGACATCTGATATCTTGAAGTTTCCCTTCTAGTTGATGCTTTTTATCATTCTTTAACAAATGAAAGATAATAAAAATTATCAGTTTTTAATGGTTCTATCTTAGTATATTTCCAAAGTACAACCAAACTTCACTCACTAGAGCTTCTAGTTCAAATTCCAAAGTCTTTTTCTTTGCTTTCAGTACAACTATGTCCTCTTGTTCTTTGTTTCTTTGATTTAGTAGTTCTTGCCTTCGATTCCGTTCCCACTCAAGTTGTCGTTGCCTTTCAAGTTCCCGTTTTGCAGCCTGTGACATTTACAAAGAGACAAATTATTAATTTTTCAGTTCTTACATTACACAATGTCTCTTCAGAAAAGCAGCATCTAGTAAGTCCTTTTAGGGATGAAATGTTAAACATTGTAAGAAATCACATTACAAAGCCAAAAATAATTTATAAAAATGCAGTATTCCTTCTATGGAAATAAAGGGAATATATAGAACTAGCTATTCTATTTATGTAAGAAGAGAACTGACAGAATCATTTTTCCATTAGAATTCCATTCTTTATGTCTTCAAGAATGCTTGATGTGCTAACTAAAAGTTCTCCTTATTTACTGACACACTGAGAAGGAAAATTTCACCTAGTAGAATCAAACTAAAACACACCTGAACAAAAACAAACAAAACTTGATTTTATTCCACCAAAGGAGAAATTATTATTTAATTCATTTTAAAGTTTGTGACTCCCCCCTTCCTAATCATTCATTTCCTTTTTACCACAAAAGCTTTAGCCCTCTCCAACACCGGCTCTGAGGACTGTTAGGTAGAGTACATATCAGAGCACCTGACAGTTTATCAGAATTGCCTCTGACTCATGGGTCTTCCAACTACACCTGGCAATGTACACCTGGTAAATGTCTATTAATAATTTTGAATAAATACTCTAGAATATCTTTTTTTTGTACGTTAAAGTAATGTTTGCCTGTCTTTGCTTGTCCATTCTGAAAATTAAAATTTTGTTACTATCTGTCTGAACAAAAGGGAGTTATGGCTAAAAGTTTTCTTTCTTTTGAGACAGGGTCTTGCTCCATTACCCAGCCTAGAACGCACCGGCTTCCAACTCCTGGCCTCAAGTGATCTTTCCTCCTTATTCTCCCAAAGTGCTGGAATTACAGGCTTGAGGCATGGTACTCAGGCTATTTTTTTTATAATGAAAAATTCCTCATTTTTATATTTCATTCACATGAGAGAACCATGTGTTGCTTCTGCAGTAACATAATAAACTGGAAAGAGAGATAAGATTGGCTCAGCCCCTTTCCAGGTATGGGGCTAAATTTATGAAGCCTTCCATAGAATATAGGATGTCCCAGAAATATTTTTAAAAGAGTTTAAAAAGAAGGTTGCCGAACAATGTAATTGGTATGACACAATTACAGTGGTGTTTAAAAAATTATACAACCTGGCTGGGCACGGTGGCTCATGCCTGTAATCCAGGACTTTGGAAGGCCAAGGTGGGCAGATCACAAGGTCAGGAGCCCAGCCTGGTCAACATGGTGGAACCCCATCTCTACTAAAAATACCAAAAAAAAAAAATTAGCCGGGTGTGGTGGCGTGCGCCTGTAATCCCAGCTACTTGGGAGGCTGAGGTAGGAGAATCACTTGAACCAGGAGGTGGAGGCTGCAGTGAGCTGATATTGTGCCACTGCACTCCAGCCTGGGCGAAAGCACAAGACTCTGTCTCAAAATATATATATGTATACACACAATCCTTACGCTCTCCACCATAAAAACATTTATATTTTTATATAGATTTATACAGAGAAAACAGTCCAGAAAAACACCGTTATCAGTGGTTTATTACAAAACTGTATCATCAAAAACTGGTACATTAATGTTCATAACAGCATTGTTTGTAATAGCCACAACGACCATCAAGTGATGAATTAAAACACGTGAATTAAATGGTATATCCATATAATGAAATATTACTCAGTCATAAACAGGAATAAAGGACTGATTCATTTTACAATGTAGATGAACCTTGAAAACATTATGCTAAGTGAAAGTCAGAAGCAAAAGACCATATATTGATGATTCCTTTTATTAAAAAAAAATGTCCTGAATAGGTAAATCTAGAGAGATAGAAAGTAAATTAGTGATAGGAGCTGGAGGGAGAAAGAAATGGGTCTAGCTGCTTAATGGGTAAGAGCTGGGGTGATGAAAATGTTCTGGAATTAGACCAGGACAATGGTTGCATAACTTTGGGAATATACTAAAACCACTGCATTATAAAAAGAAAGACAAAGATGGCATGAATAGATCACTTGGATAATTCTGAAAGGGGATGATCACACACTAACTTGGGGTGGCTCCACTCTGGCCTGCTTACCTCTCGCCTCTCAATTTCCTTCCTCCTCTCCTCTTCTCTCTGCCTTTCTAGCTCCCGCTGCTTTTCCAGTTGCTTCTCCAGCTCCAGTTGTCTTTTGCGCTCTTGCTCCTGGCGCTCACGTTCTTTCCTCTCCTGCTCTGCCCGCTCCAGCTGAGCCAGGCGCTCCTGCTCTTTGCGCTGCTGCTCCAGGAGAGCTTGTCTTCGTTTCTCCAGTTCCAGGTTGCCACGTTCAAAGTTCTCCCGCTTCTTATCTTCAAACGTTACTTCAGACAAGGAACACAGCAACTATGAAAACTCATGATTTTCAACACACTCTTTTCAAAGGAAAACTCACTAGTGTTTTTGAAACCTGTAGAACAAAACCAGGCCCAGAACTCCCTAAGCTTCTGTGCCCTTGTTAATGAGCACAACGAAAATGCCCTTTGCACAACCTCTCTGCTTATATCCTCTCTCCTCCACGCCAAACACTGTTTGTAAAAGATCCTTATCTAGCATCATCACCTTCTATATCATCACCCAGACTCCTTTCTTTCCCTGTTACTCCATCCTCTCCCTTCTTCCCATGAGCTTGCCCTAGCAATTAACCCCCACTCTTTTGGACCATGAGTCTCTGCCTCTCTCCCTCCTTCCCGTTGCCTTATAACTGTGCCAATGAGTCCTCTAATCTAACAAGATTTCTCAAAGCAGAGCAAAAAGTGAGCATTCCGCTTTTCACACTGAAGAACAAGCTTTGCCCTGATCCTTATGGAGATCATAGTCAGTCAACAATTTTAACTCATTATTCAGTTTCCTTCTTTGACACGTCAATTATAAATTTAGAATAATTACTCAGTTCTATCATTTTTTTCTCTAATACTTTGTTTATGTCCATTTTATTTCTTCATTTTCTATAATTCCATCATTACTATCCTCAGCAGTGTCTATTTCATTTCCATGTTGGCCTCACACAATCCTCCTTGGTACCAATCCCAGTCAGGGGAGCACTCATTGCTGGCCTGTGCAGGATGCCAGGCCCTGGGACATGTCTATCTAGGAACCATCGTCTCTCCCTCTGCCTTGAGACCTGCAGCTGTGAGCATCCTTCTTTGGCTTCTTCCCACACTCCTGTTTGGACTTCACTGCTTTTGACAGACTTTCTTCACGTACTGTAGTCAATGATTAGAGATCAAAGAGCACAAGTATGTTTTGGTTTCCTTGCTCTTCTTACATCTTTGGTGATTTCAGAGGAGGCGATATTCTCTACTCTGATATCTTAAAATTCAAAGTCCCGGCCAGGTGCTGTGGCTCACACCTGTAATCCTAGTACTTTGGGAGGCCAAGTCGAGCAAATCACTTGAGGTCTGGAGTTTGATACCAGCCTGGCCAACATGGTGAAACCCCGTCTCTACTAAAAATACAAAAAAAATTAGCTGGGCACTTGTAATCCCAGCTACTTGGGAGGCTGAGGCAGGAGAATTGCTTGAACCCAGGAGGCAGACATTGCGGTGAGCTGAGATCATAACACTGCACTCCAGTCTGGGTGACAAGAGCAGACTCCCATCTCAAAAGAAAAAAATTCAAAGTCCCTCTACCACAGAAAGGGATGATGTTATGATACATGCTGCAAGGAGATGAATCTCAAAAATATTGTGCCAAGTGAAAGAAGTCAGATATAAAAGGTCATATATGCTTCCATTTGTATAATATATCCACAATAGGTAAATCCCAGAAAGCAGATTGGTGGTTGCCAGGGGCTGGAGGGACGGAAGGATGGGGAGCAATGGATATGGAGTTTTATTTTGGGGTGAGGAAAGTATCTTGGGAAAAGATAGAGGTTGTGGTTGCAAGACCCTGTGAGTGCACGAAATGCCATTGTAAGGAACTGAATGTTTGTTTCCCCGCCACCAAAATTCATACACTGAAGCCCTAATTACCATAATGTGATATTTGGAGATGGAGCCTTTGTAGGGTTAAGATTAGTAGTAAGGGTGGGGGCCCTTATGATGAATTAATATCCTTATAAAAAGATGGGGTCAGAGATGGGGGGAGAAAAGAGAGAGAGAGAGAGATCTGTCTCTCTCTGCATATACAAACCAAGGAAAAGCCTCGTAAGCAAAAGAAGTGAAAGCTGCTGTCTGCATGTAGGAAGAGGGCCCTCGCCAGGAACCAAATGTGTATACCTTGATCTTGGACTTCCAGCCTCCAGAACGGTAAGAGATAAATTCCCACTGTTTAAGCCACCAGTCTATGTTATTTTGTTATGGCAGTCCAAGCAGACTAAGACAGCCACTGAACTGTACATTTTGTATTATGTAAATTTCATCTCAATTTTAAAAACTCTCCAATTCTCTATACATCTTTTTAATTCCAGCATCTGGCAATATTCCTAGTATGTAGGAGGCATATAATAAACGGCTGTTGAAAGAATGAATGCACAAATGAAATCTCTGATAATGTTGCTTTCTGTTCAAAATTTTAAATGAATGTCTACTAAAAACAGAAAAAGAAAATTCTGCATTCCAAGCATTCCTGGCCTATCTGCCATTGAGACTTCCTTCTCATTGTTATAAAAACCTGAAATATTCCTCACTTCCACTTGTGGTGACCCTACTCATCTTCAAATCTCAACTCAACTGTGACCTCTTCCACAGACATTTCATTCCTCATGTCTTTCCCAGTCTACACCAGCCAACCGTAAGTGAGGTCTGTTGTGCATCCGTAACACTCTCCAGGAATTCATCCCACTCAAGTACTGCTTAAGTGATTGCTTCTATGGGTGTCTTAAATCCTCTAATATATTTTAATGTTTCTAGAGAGTATGAACAATGTATTATTAACATGTAGAGTCTTTGCTCAACACGCAGCCTTGCACATAGAATATGTGCAATAAGTATTTCAACATTGAAGAGAAGGTAATTTAGTTTAGACAATAAACTGGGACAGCAAGTGTTCTTACCAGACCAATTAACTGCTGATCATCTTAAGTGCAGCAAAATGACACTGGCAAAGTATTTATCAAGAAAACACTCCATAAATTTCATCTGCTTCTTAGTTATCATTATAATCTCATTAATAATTCTTAGCCACCTTAGAATATTTTAATAGTATGTCAGATTTATCATTTGTAAATGAGGACTATTTAAAATAGGTACAGGCCAGGTGCAATGACTCTCGTCTGTAATCCCAGCACTTTGGGAGGCAAAGGTGGGTGGATCCCTTGAGGTGAGGAGTTTGAGACCAGCCTGGCCAACATGATGAAACCCTGTCTCTAGTAGAAATATAAAAATTAGCCAGGATGGTGACACATTCCTGTAATCCCAACTACTCCAGAGGCTGAAGCAGGAGAATCACTTGAACACGGGAGACGGAGGATGCAGTGAGCCTAGACTGTGCCACTGCACTCTCAACAAAGTGAGACTCCATCTCAAAAAAATAAAATAAATTAAATTAAATAGGTTCACATTAAATTTTAAATAGGTTCCTATGATTAAGGAGTTTCCAATTCTCTTATAACAACATGAGAAAATAACAGTAGGTGATTTCACTTTCTATTTCTGCACTGGTGATATTAAGCAATCACCTTAATACTCATCAATTTTTGGTGCTGTATATTCTATGGATATGACTTACATAATTTTTATTTAGCAGTTTATAATCAGATTTCAAGTTAAAAGATAGAACAACAGTGCATTAGCAGAGTGCATAATGTTCTTATTTCTCTATCCAGACCCAAATCCAAAAGCTTAATTAACAATGTCTCTGACTAAGGTCAGTTAAGGAACAAGGTAAAAATGTCAAAAGCTAAATTTATGTTTACCTCTATCTTTGTCTTAGAGATAGGAAATCTCTAATTTAGTCTAATCTAAACGATTTAACTCAATATAAAGGCTGCCTTACCAGGTAATTTCTTTTCTAATTGTTGCTGTTCATCTTCTAAAACTGGTTCCTCTGGTAGCCTCTGATCTACGGATGTTGAGCTTACGACAGATATACCACTGCCAGATCGAACTCTTCTGCAATTGTGGGGAAAAAGAAAAAGGTAAATGGATTCATATTTTTCTTTGTCTGGGTGGAGTTGGACATATTATAAAGAAGAATTTTTTAAGAATTTTACCATACCATGGAGCAAACTTTATTTATAGTAAGGAAAAGATAAAGATTTTGCCTTCTCTATTTACAAAGAGCTTTTTAATGAATATTTGAATGTCATCAGACTCTGAGTGCCAAGCTTGTTTAAGAATCACCACCAAAATTGGGATGATTCCAAAGGATGAAAGTAGTTAATACTCATAAAGTGGTAAGAACAATGCCTGGGACAGGGTGAGCACTAAGTGGGAGCTGCTGTTTCCAGTGCCCTCACAAGTGACCTTAAGTTCCTCCAAGGAAACAGCAGCTCAGCTCACTGGGAGCATCTCTCTTCCCTTTCCAGTCCCTCTCCATTTCATCCCTTAAGAAACACATGCAATGTTGTACTTAACAAATCACTTCATTTACTAATTTCTTTTACTTTACACTTTTACTTTGCTGTGTTTAAACAGTCTCCCAGTCCTTTTTATGCATTTATTATCAGCTTCTAATGCTGCAGTTGTGGGATTTCACAGGTAAAATGCCTCATCTACCTGTTGTTTCCTACACAGGCACAGTTTCCTCAGCTTGCTCCTGAACCATGTGTATGCTGACAGTAATGGCTCTATTTGTCTTCATCTAAAGGGGATTTTGGCCAGGCGCAGTGGCTCATGCCTGTAATCCCAGCATTTTGGGAGGCCAAGGCGAGCAGATCACCTGAGGTCTAGAGTTCGAAACCAGCCTGACCAACACAGAGAAACCCATCTCTACTAAAAATACAAAATTAGCCAGGCGTGGTGGCCCATGCCTGTAATCCCAGCTACTCAGGAGGCTGGGGAAGGAGAATTGCTTGAACCCAGGAGGTGGAGGTTGCGGTGAGCAGAGATTGCACCAATGCACTCCAGCCTGGGCAACCAGAGCAAAACTCCACCTCAAAAAAAATTTAAAATCAAGAGGATTTTGCCCCAATCTTTCCTGCACTTTGAGGACTCAGGACAGAAATCCTAATCTTTGTTTTTTTTTTTCATTCTTCTTCATACTTGTAATATCTCATATTCAGTTTTTACATTCAAAGCCAGGAGACAGAACTGTCCTGGACAGTGTGTATGTGCATGCATGGTTGTAAGTGGGGATGCCAGTCATAATTCTGGACCTCAGGAGACTCTCTTGACATCTTGATGAGACTGTGTTTCAGTATAGGACAATTTTCTTTAATTGCCTTCCTGATTATAATTTCTACATTGCTAACAGCTTTTGTTACTACTTAAATGTGTATGATTCACAGGTGCGATCTCCTTGGTTTATTCTCTATGCATAGTCTCACGCAGTTTCTCTTTCACTGCTGGCATCTGTTGCAAAAATTTCTGGTAAGCATTAATGATACAGGCTGATACAAAATTGATGTTTTGTTTCACTGTTTCACTAATATACAAGTACTATGAAGAACAGGATGGGCCCAAGATTAACACAGACCTAGACAAGAGTCTCTGGAATTCATAGATATTTAGTTTCCTTGTCAGGGATGAAAATCAGATAAGACACATAGTCAAGCCAAGTTTGGAATTCATATACTCTGCACACAAGTTATTATTAGAGCCAATGTTCCTTACCTAAAGGAAGGTGGAATGTATTCTGGAGGCAGGACGGGTGGCAGTGGTTGGCCAGACATAGCTACATCAATGAGGTGCATAGCCAGGATAAATTCTTCTGCTGTAAGTTTTCCATCTTGATCAATGTCAGAAAGATTCCTATTCAACAAGAAGTTCATTGTAATCCGTTTTCATGAAAATTCATGCTTTTTACTATTCATGAGTGATCTAAAAGTTCTGTTTTCATATTCTGACCACAGGCCAACTGAGTCTCTCTGTCCATCAGTTTATCAAAATAGTACCTATTTCATACTGTTGCAAAGATAAAATTACACGTAGTTGGAACAGTGTTCCTCATTCAACAAATGCTATGATTATAATGATACTTTTTCTCAACCTTTGCAAGTCCTTTTAAAATATAGCACACTCATGTTCCATGTGTCTTTTTTAAGAGATGAGCTCTCACTCTGTTACCCAGGCTGATGTGCAGTGACATAATCATAGTTCACTGCAGCCTCAAACTCTGGGCTTAAGTGATCCTCCTGCCTCAGCCTCCTAAATAGTGAGATCACAAGGGGTATGCCACCATGCCTAGCTAATTTTTAAATATTTTGTAGAGATGGGGGTCTCACTGTATTGCCCAGGCTGTTCTTTATCTCCTGGCCTCAAGTGAACCTATCAAATCGCTGGGATTATAGGCATGAGCCACCACACCCAAGTTCTATATGTTGTTAAATGCTCAGCTCTAGACCAGGAAATGACAAACTAGCAGTAAAGGGTCAGTAAATATTTTATGGTTTATAAGACATACAATCTCTATCATACTGAATTCTGTCATTTTGGCAGGAAAGCAGCCATAGAAAACATGTAAATGAATGGGCATGGCTGTTTGTACAATAAAAACTTCCTTCACAAAAACAGATGAAGGCCAGATTCAGCCCACTGGGCATAGCTGGTCACCCATTAATCTAGGCCTACAGGGTGGATCTTTATGAACTCCAGCCACAGAGTCAAAGTGTTTCCTCTTCCTCAATCTCAGGATTCAATTTCCATCATTCTTCATAATGAACTTGCCCAAGTAGCTAATTATAATAAACATTTTCCTAGCAAGTCCAAGAATGTGATTTTAATTAACAATTTCTAGACAATCAAAAGAAGATACATGACAACACACCCATTCCCTAAAATGTCAACAGAACAAATCCAATGGGAAACTGGCTTTGCCAATGCCAACAATTAAGAAACCTTCTTAATTCTGAAATTTCTTTAGGTGCTATAAACTTTTTTTATTGTTATAATTTCCATCAAGTAGCATGCACACTTTCTAGGGTATAATTCCGAGAGTTCTGACAAACACGAACCACAACATACACAACTAGTGTCCACTCTACCTACAAGTCCACTTCTCTTTGTAGCAAATTCCTCTGGTTTTGCCCTTCCCAGATGCCAGACACCCATTTTTAAAAAGAAAAGAAATGCAAATGAAATAAAATGAAACCCCTGCCCACTTTTCCTTATTCTCTGTTCCTGGATATATCCCACCGTTAGCCAGTCCTAGGTAAACCAGATAGAAGGTGGCTGAAATTCTTACTTGTTCTTCACCACACTTGCCTAAATTATGATTATAAGCATTTAATTGTAATCCTAGCACTTTGGGAAGCTGAGGCAGGAGGATCACGAGGTCAAGAGATCAAGACCATCCTGGCCAACACCATCTCTACTAAAAATACAAAAATTAGCTGGATGTGGTGGTGCACACCTATAGTCTCAGCTACTCAGGAGGCTGAGGCAGGAGAATAGCTTGAACCTGGGAGGCAGAGGTGTAGTGAGCTGAGATCATGCCACTGCACTCCAGCCTGGTGACAGAGTGAGACTCTGTCTCAAAAAAAAAAAAACTTTTTAAGTGTGTAGAAGCAGAATATAACATTATAACAGGAGAAGACTCAAGTGTTTTTCTCAAAGGAGGTAAGTTATAAATTAGAAATTTAAAATAAACATTTCAATATAATCTGGTATTATGAGAAGAACCTAATAAATTGTCAACCAACCTCCATTAATGTTAGATCTCAAGTTTCTATTTCAGAGAGCCCTAGAATACTGTTCAATACCCAGATTTAAAAAGGTCTGTGTGTGTCAGAGATATAAGATGTCTATTAATTGGTCTGGTCTGCCACCAAAGGCAAGTTCTTTCATACAAAAGGGAACTGCATTAGAGCTTGATCATTTGTGAAACAACCATATCAATGTGTCCTGCAAAAAAGTGATGAACTTCGCCGTGAGCATTGTAGACAAGGTTTATTTTCCAGGGGCAATCACCAACACATAGCTATAAGATGCACACTTCTTAAGAAACCATTCTTGTTAATGTTTAAATGTAAGGAAGCCTGTAGGACCGAGGCAATGCTCATCGATAGCTATTCAATATCACTACACAATAGAGACATTATGTGCCTCTTACAGAAAAGTACACAGAGACCTTTCTGGCACAGTCTTGTCAAAAACAAAACAAAATCAAATCTGATCCACAGTTCTCAACCAGGGATGATTTTGTACCCCAAGGGACATCTGTCAAAGTCTGGAGACATTTCTGATTGTCATGCTGGGTGTAGAGCTCATGCCACTGGCATCTAGCATCTGGTGAGCTGTGGCCGGAGATGCTACAGGACATCCCCCAACCAACAAAGATTTATCGGGCCCAAAATGTCCATGGTGCTGGGGTTGAGAAACTTTGCTCTAGATCTAATTACAAATTTACAGGAAATATAGAAACAAATCAGATAATCCCACAGCAATGTAATCTTCAGAAGTTAAGCCATTAAGAAACTACAGGATGAATGATCTGGTTTGTTTTTAATGGAGGTTTTTTTGGGAGGGGGGAGTGGCAAGGCAGACTTGGGAAAAGAAGCGGAGAACAAGAGGAAATTTATAAATTAAAGGAGACATAAAAGATGGAACAATCAAGTATTGCAAAGTATAGGCTTTTTTCAGTCCTGATATGAACAAACAAACTATAAAAACATTTTGAGGCAACCTAAGAAATCTGAACATTACCTGATTAATTTAATGATAAGGATGACTACTAAATAATTTAGGTGAGCTATTGGTATTATGGCTATGCTAAAAAGAAAATCAGTCAGGCATGGCGGCTCACACCTGTAATTCCTAGCACTTTGGGAGGCTGAGGCAGGTGGAGGTCAGGAGTTCAAGACCACCCTGGCCAACATGGCAAAACCCCATCTCTACCGAAAATACAAAATTTAATCAGGCGTGGTGGTGCATGCCTGTAATCCCAGATACTAAGGAGGCTGCGGCAGGAGAATAGCTTGAACCTTGGAGGTGGAGGTTGCAGTGAGCCGAGATGGTGCCACTGCACTCCAGCCTGGGTGAAAAAGTGGGATTCCACCTCAAAAATACATATATAAATAAAAAATTTAAAAAAGAGAAAATCCCTCTCTTTGGAAGATACAAGCTGATATATTTGCAGAAGATTTGGCTTAAGATTATCAAAGAAAGAAGGGAGAGGCAAGATTGGTTACGAGTTGAGAATTGTTAAGTTGTACTATCACTTCCTCAGAATTTGTTAATCTGCTTTTGTATTTTTCAAAAGTCGAGAGGGGAAATAGTATTATAAAAGAGGCAATCATTACAACTCATTGAAAATTAGGCAAATTCTACATATTCCCCCATAAAAAAAAAGGTATTAATCTAAAAACCCATGAGGCCACACCAATCTAAGTAAGTTTCCACTTTATCCAAACCAAAGAACTTTTTCATTCCTTACCATATTGAAGCCAGCTGAGCCTGTGGTAAACTTGATTGCATAAGAATAGTTCTTGCTTGGGGACCTAAACAGGAACCAGGAAAAGGACATACAGATGAGTCAGCAAATGCTCACTGTGCAGAAGGACCAGGGTTCTGCCTGTATGGACTACTACACGACCTCATGCAATCACAGTGCTTTCAATAACATTTGCTATTACCAAAAGGGCTTTGTAAAATGGAAGTTAAACCCCAAAGAAAGGGGAGAAACACAGAGCACAGCATCTGACACATACTCAATACATTTTTGTTAAATGGATGTTTGATAAAGAATGACTGAAAGATTTGGAGTTTCAAATATAACCTGACCTTTCGTCCAGATCATCATCTCTATTTGTATTGGGCTTTATTTACAAAGTTGAAACTTATTCTCTTTAAGTTTAACATCTTCTGCCACTGCTATGACCTGCTGCCTCCATCCTGCTCAACCTCAGGTAAATTCAGGGAAGATTCAGAGAATCTTAGAGGAGGACGGGACCTCAAAGAGCTCTCTGGGACATAGTTTCACTAGACTTAAAGAGAAAAAAAAAAAAAAGATTGCACAAATGGCTAATACCCAGGATTAGAACACATTTCCAGCCGGGTGTGGTTGCTCACGCCTGTAACGCTGGGCTTTGGGAGGCTCAGGCAGGCAGATCACTTGAGCTCAGGACTTCAAGACCAGATGGCAAAACCCCATCTCCACTAAAAATGCAAAAAATTAGCTGGCGTGAGCCTGTGGTAGCAGCTACTCGGGAGGCTGAGGTAGGAGGATCACTTGTGCTGCAGTGAGCTGAGATGCCACTGCACACCATCCTGGGCAAGAGTGAGACACTATCTCAATTAAAAACAACAAAAACAAAAACACATTTCCTATGTTAGCCAAGGGGAAAAAAAAGAGAATTTCTGGAATTTCAACTCTTCTCTCAAAATAAGCTCTCATAATAATCATAAACATCTTCACTTCTGGTATTAAAGTGGCCTTTGATATCAGACAAAAGCACAGTAGGAGATTCTGTTTAAATAAACTAGTGTCAGGGAGGGAGAGATAAATATGCGTTCCTCTCCAGCACTGCCTCTCAGGGTGTGGTCCCAGGAAGACTGATGGACAGAGGAGTGGAATCTGTGGCAATTTTGTTGGGAAGATTCTGGTGTATACGCTTCTGCTTTCTGCTATTTCATTTTTCAAATGTCACCTCATCAGAAAACAAAAAAGTGGAAGTGTTTTTGCATGGCCAGCAGTAGAGATTAGGGAACCAATAAGCTGTGGGCTCCAGTCCTGGCTTAGTCTAGACTGCTGAGTGCCTGGGGAAGGTAGTCTGGAACCCAGTTTGCTCATTTCAGATATGCCGGTGTATGATCCATTGGGGCAGTGAGCTTAGCACCATGTTAGCAAATGAAAGGTGCTCCAATGGCAGGTAACATTACTGACAATAGTATAACTTTTATTTACATATAAAATCCTGGCAGAAAAGCACACATAGGAATAGATACATGTGGATACATACATGTGCACATGTACACAGCTGAATTAATTTTCCAAATTGAAAACACTCAAACACTATGGAGGTCATGAAAGAAAATATAATCACATCCCAGATACCCCTCTTTGCATCTCTTTTAGTATCACCTACCACCAAGGTAGCCTAACTTCTACCTCGATAGTCTGTCTGCTGTTCTACCTGGCTTATCTTGCTCAACATATTTTCATGCATTGTTGTAGAACATTAATCTTCACTGCTATGTAGTATATCACTGTGTCATTACATCCCAATTTATTGTCCATTCTACTGTTTTCTTTTCTTTTTGTTTTTTTTTTTTTTTTTGTTTGTTTGTTTGAGATGGAGTCTCGCTCTGTCATCCAGGCTGGAGTATAGTGGTGCCATCTTGGCCCACTGCAACTGCCACCACCTGGGTTCAAGTGATTCTCCTGTCTCAGCCTCCTGTGTAGCTGGGACTACAGGCATGCACCACCATTCCCAGCTAATTTTTGTATTTCTTTTTTTTTTTCCAGCAGAGATGGGGTTTCCCCATGTTGGCCAGGCTGGTCTCCAACTCCTGACCTCAAGTGATCTACCCATCTTGGCCTCCCAAAGTGCTGGGATTACAGGCCTGAGCCACCATGCCTGGCCTGTTCAGTCTACTGTTGGCAAGCATTCAGGTAGTTTTCAATTAAGGCTACTACTATAAATAGTGAGCATTCTAACTTTTGGTGAAAATACGAACACGTTCCTGCTGGATGTGTGTGTGGATGTGAGCGTGTGTGTATTGGGAGCATCTAAGAATAAAAAACAATCTACTGAATTAATATGAACATTCTAAAGAACTGTGGTATAATGGAATGAGCAAAGCACAGGAATCACTTTCTTTAGTCTGTAACATTGTAGCTACACTGTTGGTAACAAAGTAGAATTAACAAAGCTTTAGTGGATGATTTAATTTACACTTGTAACAATTGCCCTTACTCCGGAACAATATAAAAAGGAAGGTAATACTTTATCTATTCCACATAAAAAGCCTAACAATAAATATGAAGAACTAGCTCTACACCAGGATATCAGGAGACTTGGATTCTAGTCCTGACTCCCTAATGGCATGTGGCATTAACAAAACTACTTTAGCTCTCTAAAATGAAGTTCTTCCATCTATCAAATAAAGAAATCTACAACAGAGATTGGCAAACTATAGCCCTTAGGCCAGATCTGGCCCACTGCCTTGTTTTAATAAAACAGCTATACCTATTCATTTAAGGCTGTTGTCATGCTACAATGGCAAAGTTGAATAGTTGCAGCAGAGAACATATGATCTACAAGCCTAAAATATTTATTGTGCTGTTCTTTACAGAAAACATTTGCTGATCCCCACACTAAAGATCACAATTATCTCTTGTAATTCTAATATTTGTCTATATATGTGCTAAATCCACGTTGCAAAATATTAAAAGCAGATCAGCAACAGCTAAGGTAGCATCTTAGCACATCTGGGCAACATACAGTTGAGCTTGGAGTGCACAGAACTTCTGTGAAAACCTATGTATATAAAGGGCTATTGGTTTTGGAATACTGGCTTATAAAGAAACATGGGAATAAAACCAGAAATCCCAAGAACACAAACTCCAATTCTGGCATCCATGTTTGGGCAGGGAAGTATGGCTGGAAAGGAGAGAGTTAACAACATGAAATGAGCTTTATTTGAAACAATGACTAAGACCTTAGTTCTTCTGATTAATAGATGAATTACCAAATAGCATATTCATTGTTTCAGAATGCAACAATAAAATACCCTTTGAGAAGAGGGGGTAGCATTAACAGGACTACCAAAGTTCTAGAGCTTCTTACATAACCTTAATTAAAGAATGAGCCTTCTCTATTTTATAAGGCTATGTCTTTAAAGGGCATGCAACAGTATACCTATCAAGCTGTGAAGGAACAACAGGATGTCCAACAGGATGCATTAGCCAAATCAACCCAGATAGTCAGTGAGGTAAACAGTGCCACTGCTAAAGCCAGGCGTAGTGGCTAACACCTATAATCCCACCACTCTGGGAGGCAGAGGTGGGCAGATTAGTTGAGCTCAGGAGTTGAAGATCAGCCTCGGCAACATGACGAAAACCCATTTCTACAAAAAATACAAAAAATTAACTAGGCATGGTGGCACATGCCTGTCGTCCCAGCTACTTGGGAGGCTGAAGTGGGAGGATCCCCCGAGCCTGGGAAGTCAAGGCAGCAGTGAACCGTGATCATGCCACTGCACTCCAGCCTGGGCGCCTGTAATCCCAGCACTTTGGGAGGCCAAGGTGGCAGGACTCCTTGAGATTAGGAGTTCAAAACCAGCCTGGACAACATAGCAAGATCCCATCTCTCTTTTTTTTAAATTAGCCAGGTGTGGTGGTGCATGCATGTCTGTAGTCCCAGCTACTCAGGAGGCTAGGGTGAGTGGATTGCTTGAGCCAGGCATTCAAGGCTACAGTGGGCTACTATCACACCATAACACTCCAGTCTGGGTGACATAGCAAGTCTCTGTCTCAAAAAAAGAAAGAAAAGAAGTGCTTTTTAGTTCTTGAAAACAAAAACCCACACGCACAAAAAAAGTAAGAAGGATGAAAAACAAGAGATTACAAATATAAATTATATATTTCACTTGGGCCACATTATACACTGAAACCTTTTCTCAACTTTCTTGCTATTTTGCTTCTCCTGCTGCTGAATGAACTGCTCTGGGGATTCTGACTTCAAAAAATTATCTGTATAATTGTGATCAAGACAATGACCTTTATGTTCTATCCACCTCAACAAATCAGCTGTTTTCATCAACAGTCTAATTTAGTGTAAAATATACTTTACACTGATTCCTAAGTACATAAAGGGAAAATAAATTAATTTTCCTTTGTTTATTCCCATTTTACAATTTACTATAATAAATTATTCTACTTGACATGACTATACAAAGGTCTGGTTCAAAAGTAAAATTCCCACCTTAAATTCTTGCTGGATCAAAGTAGCAATAAGTATGCAGATGTTAAACAATATCAAAATCTGCTTTCTTTCCAGTATATTTCAAATTTTACTTTCTGCCTCAGATATTTAAAAGTTCTAAATGTTCAAGTGCCTGGGTCATTATATTTGGAATGGAGATACTGCACTTCATTCATAAAACACACATCCTACCAAGAAAGAGAAAATTTCTCAATCAATGTCTCAATTGAATACTATTTTAATCAACTCACAGCAAACACCAACGTTTTCAAGAAATATTTTCAGATTCATCGGTGATGTTCTGGGTTTGTATGGAGCACTGGTTTGTCAAACAAACCATGTAAAACAGTACTTAAAAATATACTATTAAATATACCTTTAGTGGGCCAGGCATGATGGCTCATGCCTATAATCCCAGCACTTTGGGAGGCTGAGGTGGGTGGATCACCTGAGGTTAGGAGTTTGAGACCAGCCTGATCAACATGGTGAAATCCTGTCTCTACTAAAAACACAAAATCAGCCAGGCATGGTGGTGCATGCCTGTAATCCCAGTTACTTGGGAGGCTGGGGCAGGAGACTCACTTGAACATGGGAGGTGGAGGCTGCAGTGAGCTAAGATTTCACCATTATACTCCAGCCTGGGCAACGAGTGAAACTCCATCTCGAAAAAAAAAAAAAAATTAAAAAAAAAATAGTGTCTGTATAAGCTAGGCTGGTTTTTCATACCATGTATAACAATGCCAGCTACTGCTTTATGAGGAAGTATGAAACATCAAGAATCTGTATGTATTTACTATTCACCCATTCAAACTGCTGAATACATGCTTATTTGAGGTGACTGCTGAGATTCTTAAAGGGGCCAGGGTTCAAGATTATATTAGAAACCTTCAAAAGCTTATCCAACTCTGGCATATTAAAATATAAGATATATTTTTTCTTTTGGAAATAAAAATTGCAATTTTAAGATTTAGCAAGAAAAAAATAGTATGAATCAGTTCTTAAAAGTGTTTTGGATTATAATCCTCCTCTCACCCTACCTACCACCCAGGAAACCTATTTTTTTCCTTTCCTTTCATAATTGTTAGATGGCAGTTCGTTTTTTCCTTTAACATTTAATATTCGTATCAGAGGTCTCTATTTTCTTTTATTAAGTTATGCTTTTCTTTATAACTTTCTTTTTGTCTGTTTAAGATGGAATCTCACTCAGTTGCCCAGGCTGGAGTGCAGTGGCGTGATCTCGGCTCACGCTACCTCCACCTCTTAGGTTCAAGCGATTCTCCTGCCTCAGCCTCCCAAGTAGCTGGAATTACAGGCGCCTGCCACCACATCCAGCTAATTTTTGTATTTTTTGTAGAGACGAGGTTTCACCATGTTGGCCAGGCTGGTCTCAAACTCCTGACCTCAGGTTCTCCATCCACCTTGGCCTCCCAAAGTGCTGGGATTACAGGCATAAGCTACCACCCTCAGCCTTCTTAATAACTTTCTAACAAGTATTTAACCCTTCATGAGAAAAATTTTGAACGGTATGCTAAAATGCCTGTCTACCCTTCCAATGTAGATAACAGAATCATTCTTCTTTTAAAAAAATCCACTGAGATTGTCTAAGTTAATTCTGGCCTTTTATATTACTAGTTACTAGATAAAGAAATATCCAAAGTGGTGAGCCCTACTAGGCAGTGACAGAGCCATGTTCCCAACTACCTGCTTTTCCCCTGCCTGCTGCCTCCAACTCTGATGTGGTGAACACACAGCTTCAAGTTTATCAGGTTCAATGCTGGACTTCAGAAGTTGAAGCTGGTTTTTGTTCAAAGAAGTGTTTCTTTGCTAGTGCCCTGATTTGCGCATCAGTAGCTTTCAGTGTACAGGAAGATTCCTGGTCTACGTTCCATTTTACCACAAAGCAATGAGGCATGAGAAAGCAATATAACTATGTAAGGAGCTATCAGTGGATAAGGACACGAGATAACAGACAATGAAAACACTGCTAACGGCCGGGCGTGGTGGCTCACGCCTGTAATCCCAGCACTTTGGGAGGCCGAGATGGGTGGATCACGAGATCAAGAGATCGAGACCATCCTGGTCAACATGGTGAAACCCCGTCTCTACTAAAAATACAAAAAATTAGCTGGGCACGGTGGCACGTGCCTGTAATACCAGCTACTCAGGAGGCTGAGGCAGGAGAACTGCTTGAACCCAGGAGGTGGAGGTTGCGGTGAGCCGAGATCGTGCCATTGCACTCCAGCCTAGGTAACAAGAGCGAAACTCCATCTCAAAAAAAAAGAAAAAAAGAAAAAGCAAACACTGCTAAGTAATAAGCACATAAACATTTGGAAAATATCCATGACCCAATATCTAGAAACAGTTTGCACTGAAAACAAAGATCATATTTCACAAATTTTTACTTGTAAATACCTGTTAAGTGTCCACTCATAGTTTTGTCATGACTATTGAATAACTGCCTATATTTAAGTCTTGATGACTGAGGAACAGCCCATTCTGCCACTGGAGGGACACTGTGGGGAAAAGAAAAAGGAGAGAAAAAGGATTATCCATAAGGAGTAGTCTCGTAAAGTTTCCTAAAGAGAGTAAACTAAGAACTTATCCAGACAACCATATCTAACTTCAACATTTTATTCATTTTATTGCCATTATTTCGATTTTTTTTTTTTTTTGCCATGAGTATTTCCCATTTTTAAGGTCATGAACATTTCTCTCAAACAGGTAATTATTTTTCCAGGATCATGGATAAACACAATAGACCAAGTGGCTGTTTCAAGTTGTATATATAATTTAATAATTTAAAGGTTCTATAAAAGTATGAAAAACCTCTTGTAACTGAGGCAATATAATCATATCCAGGCTATTCTAATTTCTAAAATACTTCTTTTTTGGTTAAAAAGCAATATTAAAAGTAAACCAGTAACTGTCTTTAAAGGTACTAATTCTCTAAAAATGTTGAACTTTCTATACATGAATATACAGGACCCATTTCTTAATAAAGTGAAATTACTCCATTCTGGTAAGTTTAAATTCTGACCCATTGGACAGTTTCCCAGAGAGAGAGAGCAGAACATTTCCAGGGTCAGGACACATAAGCAGAGTGGTAATGGACAGAGCTTCACTTTCTAGACTATGATCCAGTACTGATCTCTCCTTGCCAATGTGCCACAATCCTGACCTGGCCCAAGGACACACCTGCCACTAGTTAGTCTGGGTCTACACTTCCTTAGTGATTAGTTCCTCAGACGCCACTGTCTACACAAATATCACGTTGGTACCAATGGCTTGTTAAGCCTCTGACGTCTAAATTAAATACAACGGCTGAGCTGACAGTAAAAATGGCATTTCCCTTCCAGGACAGATTACAACTAATGCTCCGTTTGCAATTCCCTTTCATTTCAACAAAAATAACTATTTCAAACATGTAAAAGCAAAATCTTACTTAGCTGTGTTATCTAGGCACTTATACCTATTACATACAGTTCAAGAATAGGAAATAGCTCCCAAACAAGAAGTACTTACATAAATTCACCTTTTTTCAATTCTTATGAATTTCTTAATAAAAAAATACTTACCATGATCTATTCTGCTGTGGATACTTCTGCACCAACTCTCTCATGTTAAACTAACGAGTATTTTTGCTGATTCCAACTCCTGCCTATTTGTCAAGAAGCTAACTATCTAGCTCCTACATGCCAGGAATGTTGGGTGTTACACACAGAAGTTGTTCCAGATTACACTTATCACATCAGAGTTTTCTGCCAAATTCCTGAGAATTTAAATAGACTAAAAACTCATTACAATGTACCCAAAAGTTCAATACTGCACTGCAAAAATTGGCTAGAAATCTACGTTATTAAAAACGTGACTACTAACTAAAAAAAAAAAAAAAAAACAGTTGTTTTAATTGCACTAATGTGTTTGCTAATACTGACTATGTATTCATTCTAATTTCACAAATCAATAAGGCAAGATTTCAAAATCTCTTCTGCAAAGTCATGGTAAACTCAGAACTAGAACATGGTATGGGAGAATTTTTTTTAAAAAGGAACTTAGTGTAAGATGATACAGGTTTAAATCTCAGGTCCACCATGCAGTAAGCTGTAAACTATGGGTGAGGACTAGAGCTTCTCGGGGTATGCTTCCTCAAGCATGATTTTGAGACATTATCTACTGCACAGGTAGGTGTGGGGCTGAACAGGACTAATGATGTGCCGGGAAAGTGGATGTCCAATACATATTCAAGCATCTTAAGAGTAAAACCTCAATTAAATGGAACACAAATAAATACCTGTGTTTATTTAATCTTAATTAAATTAAGATTTTTAAAGAAAATTTGCATAGTTAAGAACACACGCCTTAAAATCAGACATAACTCAGTTTGATTCAGCTCTGTCACTTATGAGTTATGTTCTGTTGGGCGAGTTATATAATGTTTCTGAGCTTGTCCCTCATCTATAACAGAAAGTAACATCTTTCTGTTCATCTCATGGGGAAGAATGAGTTAATGTATATAAAGCTTTTGGCACAGTGCTTTTCAGTTTATGGATTTTCTTTAAATCATTTTTAAAAGCTAATAAATTCATCACTAAATTATATTCAACATGCTCTTCTCATGAAAGTGGGAAAATAGGCCAGGTGTGGTGGCTCACACCTGTAATCCCAGTACTCTGAGAGGCCAAGGTAGGCCAAGGACAGGAGTTCAAGACCAGCCTGACCAACATGGTGAAACCCCATCTCTAGTAAAAATACAAAAATTAGCCAGATATAGTGGCGGGCACCTGTAACCCCAGCTACTCAGGAGGCTGAGGCAGGAGAACTGCTGGAACCCAGGAGGCAGAGGTTGCAGTGAGCCGAGATCATGCCACCACATTCCTACCTGGGTGACAGAGCAAGACTCCATCTCTCAAAAAAAAGGAAAATGGGGAAATGACTAGATTCACTTAAAAATTTCTAAAGAGAGGATTGATGCAAGAAACGATAAATTCCAAAAACTTTTCTTTTGAAGGCAGGGTCAGGATCTTGCTCGGTCACTCAGGCAAGAGTACAGTGGCCTGATCACAGCTTACTGCACCCTTGATCTCCCTGGCTTTATCCATCCTCCCATTTCATTTAAAAAAAGAAATTTTTTTTTTTTTTGAGACACAGCCTCACCAGGCGCCAGGCTGGACTGCAGTGGCGTGATCTCGGCTCACTGCAACCTCCACCTCCCGGGTTCAAGCAATCTCCTGCCTCAGCCTCCCAAGTAGCTGGGACTACAGGCGCACGCCACCATGTCCAGCTAATTTTTGTATTTTTCAGTAGAGATGGGATTTCACCATGTTGGCCAGGATGGTCCTCATCTCTTGACCTCATGATCCGCCTGCCTTGGCCTCCCAAAGTGCTGGGATTACATGCGTTAGCCATCGCGCCTGGCAGATTCATTTTTAAATTTTTATATAGACAAGGTCTCCCTATGTTGCCCAGGCAGGTCTCAAACTCATGGGCTCCAGCTACCCTCCTTCCTTGGCCTCTCAAAGTGCTGGCATTATAGGCATGAGCCAACATGCCCAGCCTAAAAGTTTTGAGATGGCTTAAAAGAGACTTAATTTCTCATTTTATTATAGCAGTATGCAAGGCCAAAAAATAGGAGTAAAATAAAATAAAAATATGAAAGGTAATCATTGAAACAAAGGTTGGCCAAAACATAAGCAACAAGGTCATATCAATTTTAATAAAACTGAGCCACGCATTTGATTAATGTGAATTGTCCACTATCTCAATAATTAATTTCATAATAAATGGTCTTAATAGGATTTTACTAATTACCCATATAAACTCCATAAGATTATCTGATAAAGAACTAAAAATAAGGCCAACTATGACGCCAATCTTCATATAAAAATTTTATACATAAACTTGTAAATCATAAATATATAAAATAGTTCATTTGCTTTTTTTCCCTTATACCCAGAATTTTATTTTACTGTTTTTAAACCTTTTATTACTATCCATTTGTTATACTCCTTAAAAAAAATACATAAAGCCTTTAAGGAAATGTTATGTCCTTGATTTTTCTCATCTCTGCAATAAATTAATGATAAAAGCTAGTGACACTATCCAGAAATTAAGCAAATTATTACTAGCACTCTACAAAAGCAAAAAAGGAGATTACAACAACAAAAAGAATATAGATGATTCATGGTCAAATTTATTATTTAATCAGGTTATGGATTTAACCAACCCTCCCATTTAAAAACAAGCAAACTTACCTGGCCACATCAAATGACTGTGCCTTTTGTAATTTAGTGTTTAGTTGTGACCCTGGACCAGATCTACTAAAGGAAGAACTCTTTGGCAATGTGGCTGCTGTAAAAATAAATGTTGAATAATTTTAATTCTACAAAGATAAGAAACTGTCCCCAATTTACAAAAATTAAAATGCACAGTCAACAAATCTGAAGCAGAAATAACTCCCCCTTTCTTGCCAGTCTAGACTGAAAACGAGCTTTTCCCTCCATAATCTCTGTCCTCCTGCCAAAAAGGTTTCCAGATTTACTTGTTCTACTGAAAAAATCACCTTATTACATTGTAACGCTGGTTTCCATAAAATTTTATTGTTTATTAAACATTTAGCATCACATTTTATAGGACCTGTTCCAATAGTTAAAGAGGTAACAGCTTAAATATGTCAACTGGCATTTTCTTAACTGCAGTGAAGCAGCTGAAGTATTAGTTCCAGATGTAAGAGCCTAGAAGTCGCAAACTGTAGTCTTGGCCAGATAATATGTGATGGTAGGGAAGGTCAGCTTTTGTGTCTGATACTCACTGGGGTTGGTTAGTTGTGTGTCAGAAAAAAAACAGTCTACACCTCAGCCACATTACCCCACCCTTGCCTGATGGCAAATGACTTGTAACATTTGCCATTGGCCACAAAAGAATAGAAGGCTCAAGAGTGTGGATTTGCTGATACCCTGGAAAAACAACTGCATACACTTTCTGGGTTACCATGATGTCTACGGTCATGGTCATAAATGCAAGATGAACTACAAGTGACAAGAAAAGTTTAAAAAGAAGGTACATTTAGTTTCTTTGGCCATAACTTAAAGATATATCCTGACATATGGAAATGTTTCAAGTATGATGCTAAAACCCATGTTGTCAATACTGAATTTACTTAGATGTAGTCAAAATACTTTAAAAATAATACTTTCCATATTGATATGAATTAAGATGTCAGACCAAGGCTATCTACATCTACAGTTTTATGCTTTAATAAAAGGAAAAGAGACTAAATGAAGTCTCAAAGTGAAATTAATTAAACCAGAAACTTTTAAATCCTTTCCTTCAATTAAGCAAGCATGTAATACCAAGAAATAGTATGAAGTGTTCTTTTTATTCTTTCCCACCACCCCTAACATAATTCTATTCCTGGGGGATTGGCTTGCTTATTAGCAATTCATAGTGGACAAAGAAACATAGTAACTGATATACAAAAATAGAAAATATTTTCAAATACAGTTCAACTTCAATTGCTCTTCTCAGCCCTTGAAAGGAAATTACATTTGTGGCTTTCTCTGCTGAGCTCACCTTTGTCCACAGTGGTACCCAGAAATCTGTAAGTCTCTTTGACTCTCTCCACACTAGCATATCCCATTTAAAACAGTGAAAAAAAAATGTGAAATTAAGTGAAAAAAATAAAGACATTTTCCTCTGGACTAAAGTATCATTTAAATATAACCAGAAAATGAAGAGAAAAGATTTTAATAATGAACAGCAAAATACAAGTAGTAAAAATTCAGCCTATGGTTTCAGCAGGTCACATACCAGGATGAGCAAATGCAGGCAGAGGTTGTATAACAGGGGGAGCCCCGTTAGCCAGCGGGGGCACAGCTGCTGTAGGAACAGAAGATACTAGGGGTGGAGACATTCCGACAACTGGAATGGATCCCATTGGCACTGGAGCAACAGCTGTAAGCGGTGGCATGCTGGCAATACCTCCCATACCTATGAAGAAAAAAAAGCCCAACACAGTTCACATCCAATCACATTTCAACATTCAATAATAATTAACCCAGTACTGCTTACAAAAGAAAATCACTTTCCAGCTGTAATGTATTCCAATTAAAATAAGGCTTCAAATTAATTATTTTAAAGAGTATCAAAAATCATGTCAAGGATCACATCAAAAGAACTCAAGACTCAACCTGAAGACAGATCAAACAAGATGAGAATCAAAAAGAATAATAACTGCAGTGGACTTAAAGGGTCAAATATAATCAAATCCATGAGTTCAAAATGATATTTAAAAATAAACAAAATCCTGCCTGGTGCAGTGGCTCATACCTGTAATCCCAGCACTTTGGGAGGCGATTACAAGGTCAGGAGTTCGAGACCATCTGGCTAACATGGTGAAACCCTGTCTCCACTAAAAAAATTTTTTAAAGTAGCCAGTTGTGGTGGCACATGCCTATAATCCCAGCTACTCTGGAGGCTGAGGCAGGAGAATCACTTGAATCTAGGAGGAAGAGGTTGCAGTGAGCCAAGATCACACCACTGTACTCCAGCCTGGGCTACAGAGCAAGACTCCATTTCCAAAAAACCCCCCAAAAGACCAAAACCCTAACTGGTCACAAAGGGAGGATGCTAAGGCAATCAATTTACTACTACTTTGAAAACTAGTAAATAAAAGGTAGAAAAATCAAACTGCAATCTGCCTTTCCTATATTTACTATACCTCAGGGTAACCACATGTTTGACAGGGAAAGCAACTTTATTTATTTACTTACTTACTTACCTATTTTCTTTTTTCTTTTTGAGACGGAGTCTCGCTCTGTCACCCAAGCTAGAGTGCAGTGGCGGGATCTTGGCTCACTGCAACCTCCACCTCCCGGGTTCAAGTGACTCTCCAGCCTCAGCATCCCAAGTAACTGGGATTACAGATGCCTGCCACCAAGCCCGGTTATTTTTATATTTTTAGTAGAGACAGGGTTTCACCATGTTGGCCAGGCTGGTCTTGAACTCCTGACCTCAGTTAATCCACTCTCCCTGGCCTCCCAAAGTACTGGGATTACAGGCATGAGCCACCATGCCTGGTTCTGGAAGCATCTTTATATAAAAATATTCTAGCCAATAAAGAAGAAATGATAAAACAAAAGTAAATGTTTTCAGCTGGGCACAGTGGCTTATGTCTGTAATCTCACTACTGTGGAAGGCCAAGGCAGGAGGATCTCCCGAGGGCAGGTGTTCAAGACCAGACTGGGTAACATAGCAAAATTCCACCTTTACAAAAACTTTAAAAATTAGCCAGGCATGGTGGTACACACCTGTAATCCTAGCTACATGGAAGGCTGAGGTGGAAGGATCATTTATGCCCAAGAGGTTGAGACTAAAGTGAGCCACAATCACACCACAGTGATACCCTTGTCTCAAAAAAAAAGTAAAAATCTTCCTTTCTCTTTTATTTTTCTGTCCCAACTTTAATACCTTCTTTCACATTGAGTAAAAACATTTTAGTGTTTAAATGCCCCCTACCATTTTTTAAAAATATTTTTGTTTGAGACAGGATCTCACTCTGTTGCCCAGGCTTGAGTGAAATGGCACAATCACCTTCACCTTCTGGGCTAAAGCAATCATCCCAGCTCAGCCTCCCAAGTTGCTAGGACCACAGGTATGTATCCCTACACCCAGCTTATATATACATATATTTGGTAGAGATGAGGTCTTGCTATGTTGCCAGGTCTGGTCTCGAACTTCTAGGCTCAAGTGATCATCCTGCCTCAGCCTCCCAAAGTGCTGGAATTACAGGTGCTGAGTCACCATACCTTTTACTATTTTTTTTTAAAGTAATTTTCTTTTCAACCTGAGAAAGCTAATTGAAAAAATTAATTACTACTACATAATAGTAGTTAAAATATTTCTCTTTTTTCCTTTTATTATTAGAGAGAATGTCTCACTCTCACCCAGGCTGGAGAACAGTCACGTGATCATAGCTCACTGAAAACTTCAACTCCTGAGCTCAAGGGATTTTTTTGCCTCAGCCTCCCAAGTAGCTGGTACTACAAACATGCACTACCACATCCAGCTAATCTTTGTTTTTTTAGAGACAGGGTCTTGCTATGCTACTCAGTCTGGTCTCAAACTCTTGGCCTCAAACCTCCCACAGTGCTGGGATTACAGGGGTGAGCCACTGTATCCATCCAAAAGTAATATTCTATGTGGTTGTTGCAGAGATTAAAATCTCCAAATTAATTTATCACAATCAACTTCTAATGGCAGAATATAGAAACTTTACCCAAATATAGCTCAATTTTCTTTTTCCTCTTCTGTGCTATTACTGTCACACACAATATAATCTTATATGTTATAAGCTCAATAGTTATTACTTTATACAATCTTTTATCTTTTAGACTTGAGAGATAAGAAGAAAAATAGATTTACATGGTCTTTTTAATTAACCTACTTGTATACCACTTTTGATGCTCTTCATTTCTTTCCATAATTAAAGTTACCACCTTTTGTCATTTCATTTCATCCCGAACTTCTTCCTTTAGTATTTCTTCTAACGTAGGTCTACTAGCAATAAATTCTCTCAGTCTTGATTTGAAAGGGTCATTATTTCACCTTCATTTTTAAATGATAGTTTTGCTGAATAGAGAATTTGAGGTTGACTTTTTTTTTCTTGCAACATTTTGAATATTCCACTGCCTTCTGGCCGCCATTGTTTTCAATTACAAGTCTGCTGTTATTAGTATCCCCATGCCCCCTATCCATGATGAGTTGCTTTTCTCTTACTGCTTCCGAGATTTTATCTCTGTGTTCAGCTTTTGTAGTATACGTGTCTGGGTGTAGATCTTTCTGTATTTACCCTACCTGAGGTGTGTTGAGCTTTAGACTGTGTAGACTATTGCTTTTCACCAAATGTGTAAGTATTTGGCTTTTATTCTTCAAATATTTTTTCTGTACCTTTATCTCATGATCCTCCTTCTGAGACTCCCATGACATGCATATTGGTAAACGTGGACTTGTTCCACAAGTCTCTGAAACTTTGTTATTTTTTTTTTAATCTTTATGTTCTATGTTCTTCAGACTGAATAATTTCTATTGATTGATCTTCAGCTTCATTGACTCTGTCATCTACTATCTTGAATCTGCTATTGAGACCCTATGGTACATTTTTCACTTTAATTATTAAACTTTATGGGTTTTTTTTTTTTTTTTGAGATGGAGTTTTGCTTTTGTTGCCCAGTCTGGAGTGCAATGGCACAATCTTGGCTCACTGCAACCTCTGCCTCTTGGGTTCAAGTGATTCTCTTGCCTCAGCCTCCCAAGTACCTAGGATTACAGGCATAAGCCACTATGTATTTTGTATTTTTAGTCGAGATGGGGTTTCTCCATGTTGGTCAGACTGGTCTCAAACTCCCGACCTCAGGTGATCTGCCCGCCTTGGCCTCCCAAAGTGCTGGGATTACAGGTGTGAGTCACCGCACCTGGCCTCTGTTTTTGTTCTGAGACGAGACCTCGCTCTGACGCCCAGGCTGGAGTGCAGTGGCGGGATCTTGGCTCACTGCAGCCTCTACCTCCTAGGTTCAAGCGATTCTCTTGCCTCAGCCTCCTGAGGAGCTGGGATTACAGGCCCAGCTAATTTTTGTATTTTTAGTAGAGACAGGGTTTCACCATGTTGGCTAGACTTGTCTCCAACTCCTAACCTCAGGTGATCCGCCCACCTCAGCCTCCCAAAGAGCTGGAATTACAAGCATGCCCCTGCGCCCAGCCTTAGCTTTGAACTTTTCAAGTCAGTTATTGTACTTTTCTAGAATTTCCGTTTTCCTCTTTTTGTTATTTCTATTGTTTTTTGGAGAGTGTCTGTTTGTTGACTCATCTTCATGCTTTCCTTTAGTTCTTCAGTTCTTTGAACATAATTGCTGCTTTGAAGCCTTTGTCTGCTAAATGAATCTAACAGCTGGATCTGAGAGAGTTTCTCTTGACTGCTTCTTTTCTTGAGGGCAAGGCAATACTTCCCTGTAATTTTTTTAATGCCTCAAATTTAGTTGAAAATGGACATTCAGATAATATACTGTAGCTACTCTGGCTCTGATTTTCCCCATAAGGTTGTTGTTTCTATCTTTATTTAGTAACTTGCAAGGCTAAATTGGAAAAATCTATCTTCCCATGTTGTACAGCCCCTGATGGATCTGCTCACTTGTGTTTTTAAAAATTTCTTCTTTATTTTTAAGCCTGGCTTTTTAGGGACTGCACCTGCATCTTTGTAGCACAGCAATCAGCCAATGACAGGGCGGAAGTTGTGCTCAAACACCTCAAGTCAGTCAGGCTTCCTTTCTCTGCCAATCTGTCAGCACAGAAATGCATTCAAAGTTCAGAGCATTTTAAAGTCTGCCCAGACTTTTACATTTCATAGGGCCTTCCTGCATATTCTCTATTCATGCACGCAGTCTGAAAGCTAATCAGGAGTTTGCAGACAACTTGGGCCCACCCTGGTCTGAGCAGCACATGTGCACAGCCTCAGCCAAGAATATACTTGCCGGTGCCATGACCACAAGTTCAGGCTAATAGAGTTGTTGGTCCTACCTACTTCTCTGTGGCCAAAATTGTCATTTCCACTGACAAAGTTGCTGGGCACAGGCATGAATTCCCACTCCCAAAGCAAGTAAGCCCCCTTCAATCAAAGTAGTAAGACTGCTAGTATTTACAACCTGCCCCTCCATGTTGCCAAGCTGAAGTGTTGGGTGATAGAAAAATGCCCAGGAAAGAATGTTACAGACTTGTGCTGCTCACACTGTTCATATATGAAGCTCAGCAGCTTTTCAAGCATAAATGATTCTCAGATGTTATATACCTTTGGTTAATTTCCAGAGCACTGAAACGGTTATTCTGTCAATTTTGTCCTGTCTTATAGCTGCCCTTGAGGGAAGAACTTGCTCAACTCAGGCATGGTTGGAAATCTCACTGCTGAAATGTCTTTTAGGTTTCCTTTAATCTATAGGCCC